TGGAGATCAGGAGGAGAGAGTGAAGGAGACAGAGGGAGAGAAGGAGTCACACACTGGGGTGGAGATCAGGAGGAGAGAGTGAAGGAGACAGAGGGAGAGAAGGAGTCACACACTGGGGTGGAGATCAGGAGGAGAGAGTGAAGGAGACAGAGGGAGAGGGAGAGTCACACTGGGGTGGGGAGCAGGGCTATGTGTGTGGATCTGTACTGTATATATATGTATATGTATGGTTTGGTATCTCTGTCAGGGGAGCCTGTATATCAAGGATTGACTGGAAAGCAGGACTTTTCTGGATACTCCACCCCAGATGGGAGTTATATTAAAAAATAGTGGCAGTTTACGAGGCAGTTTGTTTGCAAACATGATGTCCATTGTTTGTTTCCCATCGTCAATCCAAACATGGCTGATTGTTAATGCCGTGCCGGTGTCATGATGCTCATAAAATCTTCCATTGTGAACCTGATGGAGCGGAAAGGGGGGGGGGCGGGGGGGCGGCACGCATGACGTGCCCGTTTCACGTTTATTTTTGTTTGGTGGGGGGGGTGGGCTGCATTCCTGCGAATTGTTCTGCTGACGCTAATTTGTCAGGGAAGGCCGTGCCTCAGCAAATCCAGTCTGGGGGAGAAGGACCGGGGGTGGGGGGTGCAGACAGAGCGAGGAGGGGAAATTGATCTAATTTCATATCACTAATATAGCACAGTGAAAATAGGAAATGTTTCTTGCATAGTTTCCTGCCCAGTGCCGTGCCAATCCCTCCTCGCCGCCCCCCGCCCCCCCAATAGCGGCCATACTTTTGCCCCCCCCCTTTCCGCTTCTCCCAGCTTAGCTATTAAAAAATGAATCGCTCACCTTCACAACCCAGAGACCCCTCCTCCAAAATCCACGCTCGCAGGCAAAAAACACCAGACCATTGTTTCCATTATGATAAATCCATCTCCCCCCCGATTCACGGCTAAAAGGGCAGGCGGCTGGGGGACGAGACCAAGTTTAGATATCAATTTACCTTTTCTGTTTATGTAAGATAATACAGGGCCTGCGGGAATTGTCTTTTTTTGGGGGGAAATAATTACATTAAGGGGTTCAGAGATGTCGTAAACCTTAAGAGCCATTAGGTGGGTTTTCTGTTATTTATAACTTGGCTGTGATTATCGCCCGCGCGTTTTCTTGTGGTCGTTTTTATTAGACGTATGAGATGGTACAGACTACGGGCGCTTACAGTCGCCTTGGGTTTGTTTCTTGAAAAATAAATCAGCTTACAGTTGCTGACTTATATATCATTTGAGGTGTGTATTCTTGATCCCGGCACTGATAATTATGCCGATAAACTGAGCAGAAGGCCGAGAGCCCAGATTAGCTGGGGATAATCCCACCCGCTGCGATACGGGCCTTCCTGCCTTGTCTCTCTAGTCACGTAAAGCCTCTTCATCACGGGTCAAACCCCAGAATTTGTAAGACAATGGCACATTCAGAAGATGGCGTCAGAGACACCGATAGAAGCCTTCTTTTTTTTTTGGGGGAGGGGGGGGCAGCTTTAAAGCTCTTAAGTACTATGGGAAACAGCACATCCTGCTGTTGGTGGGAAGTGAGTCACTCGAGCAGCCAGACCTCAGCTTCACACGCACATGGCTCCCATCATGCTTTGCTGCTTTGTTTTGCTAATTCCTCTATAATAAATACATACACTGTGTCACATCCGGGCCGTACCCTGCCTTGTGCCCTCTGATGGGCTGGCCTCCCATCCAGGGCGTACCCTGCCTTGTGCCCTCTGATGGGCTGGCCTCCCATCCAGGGCGTACCCTGCCTTGTGCCCTCTGATGGGCTGGCCTCCCATCCAGGGCGTACCCTGCCTTGTGCCCTCTTGTACCCTGCGGTTCCTGGGACAGGCTCCCGGCTCCCCATAACCCCAAAGCTAAATCTGCATATTTTTTTTTTTAGCTCAAATCTATTTCTTCTTAATTTGATTTGGCAGCCTTTTGGGAGAGTGTCCGCGTATGCTGTACATTTTTGGCCGCCCTGTTATTGGGGGGTTTAACAGCCACTGGGACGTCTGTCCTTGGGCCTCGCTCGGAAAAGCGAGCTGTCTGCTCCATTTCTCCGTCCTTCCGCCTCTTCCTGCCTCTTCCCGTGAGGACGTTCTGCACTCTTTCCGGCTCCGTCTCCCATATACCCAACGTCTGACTTCCTGCACTCACTCCCAAACAGCCTCTTTGTTCCCCTGTTAACACCAGCTTCCTTCCAGTCTTCTTGCTTTCCTGTCGCCTTCATTTTCCTACTATACTGACATGAAGTCACGTTATTTTTGATGGAACTTCTATGTCCCGCCGTCATTGGACCAGGGTAACATCAGCTGAATAATAATCACTCACTTGTTACACTCCTAAACTTTTCTTTGCTGTGACCATAAAAGTATGATGTTTTGATGTTATTACAGGAGTGTATAAATGGGAGACTCTCAGAAATAAGGCCCAGGGTCTTCAGCTCTGTCTCTTCCTGTGATCTCAGTCATTCTTCTGGGCTGAATTTGCATGTTTACCAGCAGTTTGTTAGCCCCGTTAGTGACGTCGCTCTAATCGAATAGGTGATTCCGCATTGTCTTGGGATACAGTTGAATCATTTTAACTTAGTCATTAGTAACACCTCGCCTGGACAGCCAGCCCCCTCCTACAGCGATCGCTTAATCGCCTTAATTAGCAAATTAACCGCTTAACTGCCTGTAATTGCATTGATTCAGGTCTATCGGAACAGACGAACGCAGGAGCATAAATCCTGGTGGGGGCTCGGGGTGTGTGGATGGATGTGTGTGTGTTGGGGGGGGTGTACTGGGTGAAGTTCACGGGCCAGGAGTCATGTGACCTCATTAGCGCACGGGGCTCCTCGACCGCGCTGAGAAGAGCAGCGTAACCGCTGTGATTGGGCGCCGGCGCTGTGGCAGCCATTTCCTAACCTGGCCGCACTGTGAAATCTCACGCGCAGAAGTCCCTAATTATGCTAATCGCATGCGTGAGGCCTGACATTAAGTTATAAATTATTAACAACACTCACAGCGGAGTTCCTCGTGAGAGGCGGCCTGGTGACACCCTCCCTCCTCCTCCTCCATAACCCCCCCCCCCGCATCGTCACTTCTTGCTCTGTTCCTTTGCCCTACGCTCCGGCCCTCTCATGCCCCACCAATTCTGCGGTGTGGGTGTTTGGCCGATGCCGTGACAGGGCCCCCCTTTGTCCTGCCGCCGGCTGTGGGGGATTTCAGAAATGCCTGAGCAAAGATAATAAATCCTGATAAGATGCTGCAAGTGCTTTCATTTTTTGAAATGCCTTTCTGGAGTGAATGAATGTGTGTGTGTGTGTGTGTGCGTCTCATGTATATACATTGGGGTGACAAATATCCCCCACAATGTGATAAAAACCACTGTAACTTGTGGGGACCATTTTTCAGGTCCCCACAAAGATCTGCGAATGCAATCAAAAAACTAAGAATGCCAAATGTCTCGTATTTAGTTTGGTTACTTATGGTTAAGGTTAGGGCCGAGTAGGGGTTAAGGTCGTCATGTTGGAATTAGAGTTTTCTCCATAAAAATGAATGGAGAGTCCCCACGAAGATATAATTACAAACCCGTGTGTGTGTGTGAAGGCGTGTGGAGGTAGACTGCACCTTCATTTGCATCACATCGCTTGCTGGTTTCTAACCACTGTGGAATCTGAAATGTTTGGTCACAGCTGAATGAAGCCATTGCCATCTGAGGAGACTCAGTAACCATTTGCATACATTGTGTATGAAGGTGACATTCATATATCGGCGTTCTTGATCGTTTTTGCGCTGGTGCCCAACCTTTATAACAACCAACGTTCCCAGCTTCTGCCATTATTATGCGAAAGCAGCTTTCTGTAGAGTTTAATCACGATCATTAAAATTGCATCATTAACACGTTACTCACTTTCAACCATCGATAGCTTTTATACCTTATTATATGATACAACTGTAACTTGTAACATTGTAACATTTGTTGCTGGAAGAAATAGGCGAAGAAATGATCTTACCCCAAGTTGGATGTAGCTTTTGCAAATGTACCAATGGAAGTGTTGATATTTACACATTAACTTGAGGCTGGTAATATTCAGTTTAAAGGTGATGTGTGTAGTAGCAGCCCGTAGGAACGCCCCAGGCCGCGGTCCTGCAAAAGGCCCCAGGTCATTCTGCGGATGAATCGAGGGACGTTAACTTCATTCATACGGTGGCAGCATTTCCATTCCATCCATCCTGTTCTCTTCTCCTGTCTGTGTCATGGTGCTGCAGCAGCATAGGATCTGCCTTGAGTTTGTTCAGCTACCAAATACATGATTTGAGTGAGGGTTTCGTTTGAGGGACAGACGCCAGTCTGGGTTTCTGTCTTTTCGCCCCCCCCCCCGCTGTCGTTTTCATTTTCTCTCCTTGTGTAAGTACAGCTCCTTCACCCTGATAAACGATAAGGGCTCTGAGGCTGTGGTGGCCCCCGGCCCCGCAGATACGCCAGCTGTCTGCAGTTTCTGTCGTTTGTTATCAGGGGGCCGGATTATTTTAGGTGTCGTGTTTTTCCGCAGTGCTGACCAATGGCTGGCCGCTGCAGGGACAGGGATGTCCTCCTGTAGAAACTGGAGCGTTTAATTAATGATGTGTGTTTAAACTGCACAGCCAGAACCTGCTGTGTTTGGCTGCTATGCTCTCGTGTTATTTTACACAATCTGTGTGACGTGTGCTTAGATATGTGACATAGATGGTGTGTATCTCCTTACTTTGCCCTGAGTTAATTTGATAACAACAGCCCTACAGTGTACAAAACCATTATTCTCTGTACTTCAGTCCTACTATATATGACCTTCCTTCATTTCATGTCTCTACAGTGCCAGTGTCCTGCTGCCATGACAACCATGGCCCCTCCCTTCATGTTGCTCTTTGTACTCATCCGATTGGCCAGCGGCACTTTTCCTGAGGAACCAGGACCTCTGCACTCTATTCCCACAGAGGGTAGGTCTTTTTCTTTTTTTGAACACTGGGGTGTCAGGTCATGGAGAGGGTAGGGGTTTGCCCTGGCAGGCTGCTACCAAAGCCCCCACCCTCCATATGAGGTTAGTCAGCCATGCAGAGCAGAGGCTGACTGATAAGCAACAGCAGTGGGTAATATTGATTAATGTCTCCCAAATGACTACAGCCCCCCTTCCACTGGTGTCTGAGGGTTTCAAAATGTAAACAGCGGTCTCTGAATCCCTCTGGGATTTGGTATTAGTTGGAAATCTATTCAGGGATTTGCTCTCGGGATATATCCATCCCCAGTAGCCTTCTGTACCCCCGTCTCTGGAATATAACAAGGTGATAAGTCTTGCTGTCTCCTTCTTACAGTGGTCAGGCCTTACCCTGTGTTTCTGGGCAGAGCGCATCGTTCATCACAGAGACAGGAGTCACTGCACATACACAGAGTCCTCAAAGTCAACCGGACCCTGTACGTCGGAGCGAGGTAAAGCCTGACTGCAGTGTCACTCATCCGTGTGCCAGTGTGGTGCAGTGAGTCAGTGAGTCTCAGCAATCAGTCCAAGGTCTTTATATATATCCCAGTGAATGGAAGGGCTGCCATTAACAATGACCCAGCTGTAACCTGAAAGTTAGAAACAAAATACATCAAAGTAGATCAAAATAGAACTTTAGAATGAGCACAAATATGGTCACATGGTAGCTAGAGTGCAGAGCTTGAAAACAAGCCGGAACAGCAGAAACAATCGAGGTCTGGAATCAAGGTCAAAGTTTGGTTTCGACCTTTGGTTGCCCTGCCACACAGAACAGAAATATAGTAGTACATTTCACGGCATTATCTTGCAAGGAGAATCTAATTGCAAAGGCAGCTCTTGCCCCCACCCCAGGAACAGCTCGTTTGCTGGGGGGTGGGTGGGCTGGGTGCTATATGGATGAGCTGAAATTCAGCGGTGAGAAACATAAATGTAAAAGCCACCAAGTACCTTGGGGGAGGCTGAGTCGATTGCTCAAATCTGTATCCAAGTGCTCTGGCTGATAAGAGGACTGGCAAGTGTAAAAATCCTGCTAGCATTAGCATCGCCGCTCATGGAGCAATATCTATTAATGCTGTGGTGCAAAAACCCATGTAGGTGCATTACATTCCGGGGGGCGCGGGGCCCACGGCAGACGGCGTCCTGAGACAGCCTGTTCGGAGCAGGTGTTGGGTAAAATGGCACAGAGCGCATGAAGAAGCATTCGTTAATAGAGCCAAACGTGGGGCGTAATCCAGACAAAGGAGCAAAGCTAGAAGAGTTTGTTTGCACAATGGCGAACTGGTGAAGAACTGCTGGCTGTTTGCAGAGCGTCGTGACAGACGTAGTTCTGTCAAAGAGAGGCAGTGCGGCCCAGCAGCCCATGGCGATCTTGCAAATACAGTTGGAGTAAAGCCTACATCAGTTAGTCGGACGTGAATTATAGTCAGGCACAAGTCAAGACGGCACACAGTCCTCAGCTGGCAGCCCGAGGGAACAGGATGTAGGATGGTCAGTAAGAGACTACCAGCCGTGCAAAGTGGTGAGTCACTTAGGGAACATTAACCAGTCAACAGCGGCACAGGGATGCAGTCCCGAGACAGGTAAGGGCTTCCTGAAGCTCTAACCGGTGCATCCGCAGATGTCCAGCTACATTATTGCTATCTTTTAATCTTAGTGGTCTTCAGAAATCAAGTTACAGTGGCGATGATATAACTCAGGGTTGGGGACCTGGCTGTCATCCATACCGACATGAAAGCCTTTTAATATTTCTTGTGTCAGCACAGGTCAGCGAAAAGTAGCCAGGATGAGATTACCCTACATCCAATTTCTGCTTGATTATTTGTGTCTGTTCTGAGAAGGCGACCTCACCGACGCCAAAGCGAGAGCGAGGGGGCATCTCAGCTGTAGCCACACCACTTAAGCACTGTCCTGCGTTGGGGTTTATCCTCTTAACAAACCAAGAAATGTAGGGAGTGAATAATTTATTGAATCTGCGGTTAGGCCTCGCCTTGTGCTAGACACAGCCTCCCTTCTGTTGATGAGCCCTGGGCCCATAAAGAAGTGCCACAGATGGGGAATGGAGCTGAATCTCAGAGATAAGATCGATACTGCCGCAATAGCACGGCTACGGCAGATTTACAGATTACAACATTCAAGGCCCCTTGTCTGAAAAGGCCTCCATCGGGCCAGAACCAGCCCTGCCTGTTCGCAGAGCTCCAGTCCTTAATCAATACATTACCATCTGCTCCTCATCCAGTTAGAGTACAGCTTGATGCAAATTTTTATCCATCTCCCAACTGCTTATTCTAGTCAGGGTAGGGGGGGGCGGAGCCAATCCCAGGCAGCATAGGGCACAAGGCGTGGGTGCACCCTGATTGGGATGCCAGTCCATCTCGGGGCACATGCACACACACTCTTAACCAGCAATTAAAGGATGCCAGTTATCCACTTAGTAGGAAGAAATACGCACAACATGTGGAGAGCGTGCAAACTGCACACACTGACCCAGAGAGGGGGTGGGATTCTGACCCCAGCGTGCAAACTGCACACACTGACCCAGAGAGGGGGTGAGATTCTGACCCCAGCGTGCAAACTGCACACACTGACCCAGAGAGGGGGTGAGATTCTGACCCCAGCTCTGGAGGTGTGAACTAAAGTGCTGCCCACTGAGCAAAAGTGCCACCCTGCCGATTTTTATTTTATCCGTAATAACTATGAGGCATTCTGGAATTCACTGTGATGCCAGTGTCCATAAGTATCAAGGTCACTCAGTTACTAAAGTCCTCTTTCTCACTATCTTTACTGGGCCACGAGTTAAGAAGGCTGGATACAGGGCACCTAGGGGCAGCCCTTGCTTATGTCTCACTTGCGTCTGAAATCCTGGCTGAGGCTGTGAGCTCCTGTCTCAGTTATAACTTTAGTTAAGTAACAGGGAAATTAGGCTAATGGAACGCGAATAGCTCTGCAAAGGTGAAAGGCCTACATCCTCCAGGCTATACGCAATCCAGCAGGCCTGCTCACCAACAAATGCTCTCTCCTCCTGGAGTCCTGGCTCCACTCTGTGCATCAGAGTCGACTGTAACTTTGAGGTGCAAAAAACCTGCAATCTGATTTAAAATTGGCTTCTATATGATATAGCATTCGCACCTCTGGGACCAGGGTTCGAGTCTCTACCCCAGCTCTACTTGTGTGGAGTTTGCATGTTCTCGCCCTCCCATCATGGGGTGTCCTCTGTGTTCTCTGGTTCCCTCCTCCCACCCCCCGCCCCCCACACATTTGAAAAACATGCTAAGGTGAACTGGGATTGCCAAGCCGTCCGTAGGTGAGAATGTGTGTGAATGGTATGTGTGCCTTGTGGGTTGGTGCCCAGTCCTGGGTTATTCCCTGCCTTGCAACTGTAGCTTCTTGGATGAGCTCCAGGCCCCTGTGATCCTACATAGGACAAGCGGGTATGGAAAATAGGTCCCTGGATGGATGATAGACTGTTGACAGATTTTGGTGTCTCTTTCTTGCTCCGTCAGAGATGATCTTTATCGAGTGGAACTGGACAATGTGGCTGGAGATGAGATGTTCTACAGCAAGGTGAGGCCTTCTAAAGACACCTTACTCTGCTTGTGGAGGTGACATGGAGTGTGTGAGTGTATGCAACGGTGGGTTGGAATTTCAGCTACGTCACCATGTCCTTGCATTTCTGTCCGCAGAAGAGGACTTGGGAGTCCAACAAGAATGACATCAGAATCTGCAGGATGAAGGGGAAGCATGAGGTGAGGCGCCAGGCGGACACACGGGGGCTCGAACCCGGCCTCGCTTCACTGCTAGCTTGATGGTCTGTCTGTGAAGCTACACAAGGAGGAACGTGGTCTGGTGGCATTTTAATGAAGTTCTGTTTGACCGCCCAAGTCGCACGACGGCCTAAGGCCCGGAAACAGTTTCCAGCGAGCTTTGTGACCGAATCTGGCGATCCGCGGGCGCCGGCGCGTCCGGCGTGCTGAGCCGCGAAGTGCTTTGACGTCTCTCCAGCCACCCACGGAGTGACAGCTCAGTCATTACCCCCCACCCACCCGCTAACCTGCTCCTGCCGGCAGCCCAGATCGTCCACCTGACTCATGTGCCCTCAAACACCTTCTCTGAGGTTGACAGAAGGACGGGTTATTGAAAGCTGTCTGTGAAGCGACGCAAAGACCAGTCGGTTAATCCACCCCCCAGCAAAAAAAACTGACTTATTTATCAGTGAAAATAACACCTGACATTCAATCCTTGTGAGACAGTTAGTGACAAAGACACAAAGGGAGGGGGGTAGGCCCTGGATCGGCAGGGTGTGGGGAGGTTTGGTGGTCGAAGGCGTGGAGAGTGGGTGTGTGGATCTGAGGACTGGCTGGCACACGGGCGGCCCCCGGATCCCAGCTCTTACACGGCTGCCCTTCTTCCTGCAGCCTCCTTTTTCGCCCTGAAAGTCCGTTTCAATACCTTTTCGTCAGGTGTGATATATTAGCCACCAGGGTAATTGGTTTTGTAATGAAATGTTTCCAGCTGGTTGATCACTCGGACATATTTGCGTGATCCGGCAGGAATAGTAATACCCGACTTCCATTCCCTTCCTCTATTCCTCGCCATGGGCTGCGAATGTGGCAGCTTGTTATGCCGCTAATTGAAAATGCCCTCATTACCCCGTACTAGAGAGGCAATCCCAGATGATATGCACTAGCCCTGCCCATCTCTCGTTTGTGTTGGCCAGGTGCTGTTTTGGTATTTCAGTCCCTTATATTCTCCATTTCTTCAGCTGCCTGGATTTCAGATCATCTGTCCAGCTGGTTCAGTGTTCGCCGCTCACTTCCTTCTTAAATGTGGGGAATGAGATGCAACTCGGAGGCGTCTGTATTGGTTTTGATCCTCTGTGGTCTTTAAATTTAATTAATGACAAAAGTGGAGAAGAGGGTTCTTTAACGAGCTTCAGGCATGGTCGGAGGATGGATGGATGGAGGGATGGATGGATGGAGGGATGGATGGATGGGTTATTCAGTCTTTTGAGTCCAGTCGAGTGATAAGTGCATAAGTGATTCTATATCCTATTTGGGGGTGGGGGGGGGGGCGCTCAGCCACCCAATTTTTGTGTCCCTCTGAAAAAATATTTTTCTAAATCAATTTAGCAATTTCTCCGGGTGGAGGCCTCCTGTATTTCTCCAGATTGCGAGTAGCAAGATCCTGGAGTCGCGCCTGGTCTCCAGTGCACAGGTACAACGCGAAGTGCAAAGGGGGCTCTGACCGATGGAATGGGAGGGGGGGGGGGGGCGCCATGTGCAGAAGCCATTGGAGGAGACGGGCATGTGCTGATCCGAGATCCCGCCTGCAGCCCCAGGGACAAACCGCATCAAAGGGAGCGATGACCCACGAGCTGGGGAGGGGGGGGGGGGGGGGGCGCCATGTGCAGAAGCCATTGGAGGAGACGGGCATGTGCTGATCCGAGATCCCGCCTGCAGCCCCAGGGACAAACCGCATCAAAGGGAGCGATGACCCACGAGCTGGGGAGGGGGGGGGGGGGGGGGCGCCATGTGCAGAAGCCATTGG